TGACAATAATTGTTCCAGCGAGAAAAACTTTGCTGACCATTAACTATATATTAAAATATATACACACAAAAATACACACAAATCACAATTAAATAAAAATATTCTTATCTAAATACACACCAAAAGAAATCTTTAAATATATTTATAAAATGCTGTAAGAATTTTAAATATTAACAATATAAATTTAAAAATAAAAAAAAATATAGACGACATAATTTTAACGGAAGTTAGATTTCAGGTTTCAAAAAAACATCCCTACCCACTACTGGCAAAAGTAGCAGTATATATATATTAAAATATATAAATATATAACACCTAGAAACTGTGTCTAAATAAAAAAATAAAGTTTATGTAATCTTGGGAAATGAAAATTTTTTTAGTAATATTTAAATTAAAACCCAAAAATTTTAAAATTTGATCCAAAAATTTACATACTGTGAGATTCTAATGGAATTAATGTTCTTTAATTTAATTACAAATTAAAAGTAAAATATTTCAAATCCATTTTTAAATAAAAAGGTTAGAAACAACCCCCTGCCAAAAAAAACCAAATTTTTAAATCAATTAAATTATAAGAATTTTAGCTCTGTAAATTTAAAATCCAGACGACACTATTTTTGGAAAAATATTTCATTGAAAAACATCCGATTATATATCTTACTGTTCTTTCTTTTTTAGAATTTAGATATATATATATATATATATATATATAAATGGTTTATGAAATTTTTTGAATTTTATTTCCTGTGTCATTTAAATCAATGAATGTTTGTTATCAAAAATTAATGCAAAAAAGGGATTCATCTGTTTTATTTAATCAAAAATTAAATTCAAACTTTAAATTTTGATTTTGAAATATGGTTAGAACTGTGTAAAAAAAAAAACAATATTTTAAATCTTTTTTTTTCCATTTATATAAGAGATGTAATAAGATAGTAATTATGTATTTTTATTTATATTTTTAGTTTTACAAAATAGTCGACAAATCGAAAAACAATGCATTATTATTATTAAATTAAAAAATGATTTAAAATTTACTTTTTTGCAAAAAAAATATATCCAACATGTCCTTTACATATATCAAAAGTTTATATATATCATCATATAAAGACAAATTAGCCATTCAACATTTTTATTTTATATAATTTAAATTTTGGTATATAAAATTTAAATTCAATGGATCATATTTTAAGTCATTTCACACATTCATTGTAGAATGAAAAACTCAGAGTTCATGCTTGCTTGGAATGATATGTTTGATAAATTTGAAATATAATTAATAGATTTGTTATTTACAGTGGTAGAATGTTTTTTTTTTTTTTGTATGACATTATGATTGTGTGAATGATTACTGAGATTTTTAAGACAAATGTATATATATATATAGATATGGAAGTATATAGACATATTCCAAGATAGATAGATCTATACACAATGCCTGAAATATATGGGAGAGAAAGATATGAGCATATAACTATATATATTATATATATATATATATATATATATATATATATAGACAAGATTGATAACCAAATATCTTCGACAAAATAGTGGTAAATCAGGAAACACATATACAGAAAAAAAAAAATATTTATATAAATATATATATATATTTATATATATATATTAGAGAGAGATCAACTAGCATTTATGTATGTATAGTCTCACAAAATGCATATATAAATATGAATAAAGTTCGAGAATATATATAGAAATATATATATATATATTATATATATATATATATATTTTAGAAATTTTTTATATAGAGAGAGATTTAAAAAAATGGATATATATGAATCATCAAAATTTTTGAAACAAAGTTTAAAGTTTTATCAAAATTGCTTTTATTAAGAGGAAAGACTAGAGGATTTTTTATTAAATTATATTTCACACACATTCATATAATTTAGTTAAAATATTTACATCAGTTCAGGGGACTAAAGAGATTTAGTCCGCTGAAGGAAATTCTAAAAATATTTTTTTTTTTTTTTGCACACACAAAACATTAATTACATGCAAACACGCAAATAATTATATATATTTTATATATAACTATATATATTTATTCATAATTATTTTAGAAATGTTTCTTAAAACATTTTTTTTTCAATGAATATTTTTACAAATTTTTTTAAATTTTATACATTTTCATGTGATCTAATATTATTTTTTTCCACTTATTAAATTTTATAGAATTTTCCGAATGTTCTTTTTTCCGAGCGCTTTCGGTTATACATTTAGCCATTTTCAAGAACTTTATATTAAATTTAAATCAAATAGTTTGTTTGTTTTTTGTTTTATTGTTTTCATTTTTTTGTTTGGTTATTGTTTGTTTGTTTATTTTGTTTGTTTTTTTGTTTTTTGTTTTTTTTTTTTTTTTTGTTTTTTTTTTTGCCTGTTTTTTTGTTTGTTTGTATGTTTTGTTTTTTTGTTTGTTATGTTTTGTGTTTTTTTTTCTGTATGATTTTTAAATTTTGTTTATATATTTTATTTATTATTATATATATTTTGTTTTTTTTTGTTTGTTTGTATGTTTTGTTTTTTTGTTTGTTTGTATGTTTTGTTTTTTGTTTGTTTGCAACACAAAGTTTTTTTTGTTTGTTTTTTATGTTTTGTTTTTTTTGTTTGAAAACTACAGTTTTGTTTTTTTTTTTGTTCAAGTCATTCATTTTGTTTTTTTTGTTTGTAGCAAGTTTTTTTTTTTTTTTGATGATGTTTTGTTTTTTTTGTTTGTTTGGAATGTTTTTTTTTTTTAATTGTTTGAAAGAATTGTTTTTTTTTGTTTGTTTGAATGTTTTGTTTTTTTTGTTTGTTTTTGTTTTGTTTTTTATATTTATATATATTTTATTTGTAATGAAACAGTAGATATTATTTAATTTTTGTTTACATTTTCATTTATCTACTGTTTTTTTTAAAAAATAATTAAAAAGAATAATTAATTTTAAACAAATTTTTTTTTTTAATTTTTAAATTGAATTATTAAATAAGAAGAATAAATAATAGAAATTGCCAAAATTTTAAAATTTTTATTTTAAACCTTTAATATTAATAACTGTAATAAATCAATTAAAAATAAATTAAAATGTTAACTAAAATATTAACTAAAATATTTTAATTTATTAAAATTGTAAATTTATATATATTATATATATAATTATATATATATAACAACTTCTATATAAACTATAAAAAAATTAATATTAGGTGGTTACCGAAAAAAAATTACAATGCTTGAAGAAAATTTGTGTTTATTCAAAAAAACAAGTGGTTTATAAAAACAAAAATTCATGAACGAGGAGACCTTAACTACAAATTCTAGGAAAACGCATGTATACAAAATGATCAAAAGGGATGAAAAAGACCAAACAAATTAAAAAAATTGGGAATATCATTTATAACCAGAACCCCCTTGAAGAATTGAAATTTACCGCATGAGATTTTGACCTTAGGTCTTGAAAACAAAAAGAAAATATATTCTAACCTTAGTAGGCTTTTATATATATATATATATATATATATATATATATATAAATAAAATTATGGTAGAAGAGGTTTAAAATATTTTTTGTATTTTTGTATCTTATTTTGTTTATCTTATTTTTCTGTTTTAAATAAACATGTTAGCATAACATTAAATTATCGGTTCCTGTTGGCAAATAAATTTTGGGAGATTATGATATAATAGGATCAGTGTTAAAGAAGAGCATAAACATTGGTTAATTTTATTGTCAGCATCTGAATGTGGGTCTTAGTACCAAAATCTGAGACCCTAGGCAGGATTAGTACCTGGTGGTGTTATATAAAATTTGTGGAGGACGATTATTTTACTGACTAAAATATCAGAATTTTCATGACGGTATTTCTGTAAATGAAAATAAAAAAAAGTTTAATTAAAGCATTCAAGTCAGTTTTCCTTGTGAATGAGAATTCATGAAAAAAAACGTTTAAACAAAACTTAAATTCAAAATTTGCTTTAATCATTGTCCTAATTACATCATATATATATTCATTCTCATATATATATATAGATTGGTCATCAGAATACACTCAATTAAATACAGGTATGTTCTTGGTGTAAAATAACTCTCTCAAATATACAGTAAATATAGATGAATGAAAATATAAATATAGATAGGTTGATGGTATATTGAAATTTCTTGAAAAATATTAGGATCTTCAGGATGTATT